AATATATACGAGTATATGTATGTTCATATCTGCATATATTCACAGTGTGTACAATCAAAGTAAAAGAATATTGTCTATTGACGAACAACAAATTAATGTAATCTATTAAAAAATTTTTTTTGCTCGCAATAGTTGTTGCTATTGTGTACTTAGTTACTTAGCTGAGAAAAACAATTAATAATATCGCCTTTTGGAATGATAAATACATACATTTATAATATGTTGCACTAGTTATAACAATATGTATTATATTATTATAAAACTTTGTACTCTTAAAAAAAAAAATTATTGATAAAAAATTATGAAAAAATATTTGATAAATGTTATAAATTTATGTACATATATAAAGTTTGTCAAGAATGAGTTTTCACAAGGCAAGAAAACATACTTTTTCAAATTTTGTTTTATTTTTTTAATTTTGTTATCAAATACAGTTATTTACATTATTTACAACGTATTCATAGAGAAAGAAAAAAATCAATTGAGTTCAAAAGATGCGAAAAACATAACAAAAACAAAAACTGCTTCAATTTTAGAGTGTCAAACGTCTCTTTTCACAAATAATAAAATGTATTTGTGTAGTAATTTTATTAATCTTAAACCCGCCCATATAGAATATCTAGTACTTAGTATGACTGCCTCTAGCATTTACCACGCATTGCAGCCGCTTCTTCAACATTTTCATGTCGTACACCTTGGGTATATTTGTGTGAGGTTTTTAGTTTACCTTTAGCCACTTTTTTTTCAAAAAAGCCCACAATTTCTCAATAGGATTTAAGTCCGTGCTTTGGGCCGGAGCATCTTTAATTTTCTCGCAGTTGTACAGAAGCCACATATGCACCAAATTCGCCTTATACCTTGGGTCGTTATCTTGATAAAATTTTTAATGCGGTTTCATATTCCTGATAAATCCAAATTTATCTGCAGTGCGTAGCAAATGACTTCTTCAAATAGTAAGACATTGCTCTGCATCCATTATATTCTCCATGAAACCTAATTCGCTTACTCATCTTGCTGATATAAACCCCCAAACCATAGCAGACTCCTCTGGGAATTTGACCGGTTGGTATAATGTCCCGGATTGCCAAAATAATTAATAAAGGCGAAAATTTCTCAATCCCATTTTTATTGTTTTTTTTTGTTTACTACGAGTATTTAATTTAATTGCTTATTTTAACATTTTTCTACTAATATTCAAAGTTATAAAAGCAAAAATTAAATTAAAAATAAAACAGAAAATTTTGCTCAAAAGTAGAGAAGTCAAAACGTTGTTGCATAAATATAAACAATTGTTGATGACTAACATAGTTTTTTTTGTTGTTTAGTAAACAAAATGTCATTGATCTCTAGACTTTGTTGCTTAGATATAAGTGTGTACGTATTAAATGCTGAGGATGCCCTGTAGGAAATTTTTTCCCACAGCTCAGAGGTTTGGTTCAACCATTAAATTTGAATTAGCACTGAAGCGAGTTATTAACATTTGCACTTTATTTGCTGCTTAATGGGGTTGAGTCCACCTTGAAGAATTTTCGCTATGAATGTTAGAATTGTTTTATGGTTAACAGTGCTCTTTTTAGGATTAATAAAATAAATAAGTTAGGTAAAAACCATTTTTTCTACCGCACCCTTTGTTTGTTTTATCTGCTCTTTATATGTGTAGAATAAAAAATATTCTCACGCTGATATCTGATATAAATAGTTAGATACGATCTGATTTGCATTTTTAATATAAACCGGTAGCTATGAGCGAACAGTTAATGTTCAAGGTATTTTTTTATAGGTAAAAATAAAGAAATAGAAAACATTCAGAAGAAGAGGAACCAGTCAAAAATAAAGGTAAATTGTACAGGCCTCTCTTTTTTGGGGTTTCAAAACTATTTTTTTTCATGTTATTCCTTTTTTATTATAATCACACATACATCATTGAAACGACCGCCTTGTGCATTTTTCAAACTTTTAGGTCCATTCTAAACGAGTTATGGCTGAGATAACTTGACGAATAATGGTTTTCAAGTACTCAAGAGTTAGAGATTTACATCATAGTTACTTTCTTTTGCGTGGTCCTATAAAAAAGTCCAACTCTGATGGTGACCATTTGATATCGTCAGGATGAGGAATTACGCGGCGGAGAAATTTCTTTCGCAATAAAGCCATTTTCGCTCATATTGCATGGCATCAATAGAAATTATATAGCGTATTTCATATATCATACAGAAAAAGAGGAGTGACAGCCCTAATTTTCATATATGTACATACAAATATTCTATATATGTATTAATGGCTGAATTCCTCCTGAGCGACTGAGCTATCATACTCTAAATGTAATTGTATTGAGCTCGAAAATAGTTAAATTTATCATTCAGCAGAATTACGACCTGTCAAATTATCATTTAGAAGATTAATACCATAATTTATACACAGAAATATGGACTCAGAAAAAGAAAAAATAAAATAAAATAAAAATATAAATTAATAGAGAATCGTTATTTTTGTTCAAAAACCTTGTTTATCAATATGGATTGTTGGATGGATTGTTTTTTTTAAAAAAACTGTAAAGCACAAGACTTTTGAAGGAAATTAAAAAAATTGAAAAACAAAATTTAAATGCTAACAGTTATTTTCTGAACGACAAGCAAAAATTAAGATTTTTGATATTTTGATTGTTTTCATTGAAGAAACAAACATAATAATTATTTTCGATCCCTGGTGAAAATATTATTCAAAGGGTTCTCTGTTTGAAACTTTTATTTTAAAAGATTGACAGCACAATTAAATACCAAAATATTGCCGCAAAATATATATTTCAGAAATATTTACGTATTTTTTCATTTATTTATACAATTTAAAGCAAAAAAATATGCAAGAAGTTTAAAAAAAATTGTAATTTGAAAATGAGTAAAAAAAAGAAAAATTATTACTTATTTCATATTTGCAAATTTTTTAATCATGTTTATAAAGCTCATTTGTTCGATTTGATTTCAAGTTGAATTCACTATGTACTTTTGCGCTATTCCTTTGCAACTGCTTGCTTTTTTGATATGAATTCTACATTTGTTCTTTGTTTATTTCAATATCTCATTGGCCTACATTTTAAGCGGATATGCCTGATCGCATATGCATTACTATATTACACGTATGTAGATGCAAGTAAACAAATGCAGTATATATGTAAAATTATGCAAGCAAAAATATAATTTCTAAAATGCATTTGATGCGATTTTCAGAGTTCAATGACATGGAATACCGAATTCTTTGCATTTCAATGTCACAGTGAAAATAAATAAAAATGTTTTTTTTTTGGAAGTTTAATGAGAAATAAATTGTTATTTTCCTTTATTGAAAAAAAAAAAAACAAATATATGTAGTTTATATAATATAATATATGATATAATAGTTTACCTCGTGGGAAATTAGCTTCTTATTATTTCGATTTATTTTAATATAATTTTTATTGAGTTTAACTTAATTTTTAATAATACTTCAAACAGCTTTGCTTCTAAAATCTTCCTACTTAAATATAATAAATGTTTGACTCTTATTAAACCTTCCCACACTTGACAGTCATAGATAAATAGTTGGTGTAGTTTTTTATGAGGATAATATTAAACGGCTCTAATAAGAAAGCCTAAGTATTTTCGCCCACTGATTTTGAAAACATGTAAAACGATTTTTGAATTACACGAGCGCTTACATTGTTTGCCACTTGATTTCAACTCTCATTCTGACAAGTTTTCTTTTGATATTAATAAAATAAGTTTGTCGACGCTTAACTAAGCTCAATCACAAATTATATTTGGATTAATTATTCTATTTAAAAATCACCTTATGTTATTTTGTTCTCTGGTTGAGGTTCTTTGCTTCTCGGTACTTAACAAACTTCCTTTCTTCTCGGTGACTCGGTGTTAGTGTGAAACAAAGAAAAATATTCCGCAAAAAATACGGACTGGATAAGTTGTATGGGTGAGCAACAGTTGAGGAACGTTTCGAAATAATAGCAGTAATAATCGTAATAATATTTTAAACACGACCAATGAGTTGTGAGTTTATCCCACGTCACATCGAAAAGGAGCACTTAAGTAGGTACTCTAATGTATTAATTTGTTCACAAATTTTCGAAAGGAGATTTTTGTTAAAAAATAACATGCGGACCGCGCATTTGAGTAGTGGCCATTCACCCCAAATATACAATTGGAAATTTGTATATACATTCAGACCAGAAACTTTTCGTAATTTAAAGTGCTTTTGCGTCTCGATGCTTTTCCAACAAATGAAGGCCTACAGCTTATACTAAGCCGCTTCTGAACAGCTGATGGTTTTTTTTTTTTTTTTTTTTTTTTTTTTTTTTTGAGGAGCAATATTTCATGTCAGAAATACACTCGTAGGGGTTGATATTCCTTGCGTCCGCAATCGAAAAATTTAACTTAATTTTTTCTTAAAAATAAATTTGTATAAATAATTTTAAACAAAATGATCATGTAATTAATGAAATTAATTTATATTTGTTGAAACATTACGATTCTAGTTCGTAGCAACCAATAAAAATGTTGGTTGTATGTAACTAACTACAAGTATACTTATTTTTTTATAAAAAAAAATACTTTATTTGTTTGTTTACTACAAAGTTATTTAGCAAAATACTAAACGCAAATTGCCACTGACTTGCGAGACGTTAAAAAGTGTGAAATTTTCTGCTTGATAAATGCGAATAAGAATATAAAATATCAATAAATAATAGCACAGCAGCGACGTAAAGAGCATAACACAATCACGAACAAGAAATAAATAAAAAAAAACAAGCAAGCAATAACAGAAAATCATTTTAAGCGCCACTTTAACCCAACGAAGCATAAACAAAAGCGCGGCGTGTGACCCAAACAAAAAGGTGCTGATAGGCGTATGAGTGACTTTGATTGGCTCTTGTAAATATGCAAATTAACATACGCATTTCCAAACGTATATATGTATTTATTTAATATTTTAAGTTTTCAATTATTACTTACACTTTTAGGAAGAAAAACACGTAAAGCAATATCAACTCAAAGGCGTGTGTAAATTTTTTCCCAAAACAGTCTGCGATATATTGATAGTTCAAAAATTTGAGAAAACAAACATTTGCCGTTATTTGTTAATTGATCTTTTCTGTTATTGTTTTTCAGCACTCAATAAATCTGCGCAGCATAAAATGTTTGTTTTGCGGTTGCATTTATTAATAGTATCTATCGGCTCTCGTGATAGTACTTTCATTTATTTATTTTTTAATGTGACGCGTAGATTATTCTATAAATGTAAATAAAATATGTAAAATAAAGCAAGATAAAATAAAATTATATAATGTAAAATTAAATAAAACAGTATAAATTTTAAAAATATTAATTAAAATAAAATAAAGTATAAAGAAATTTAATATATTAAGAAGAATTAAATGTAATAAAATAATGTATAATAAAACAAAAAAATTAATATAAAATAATTAAAACTAAAATAAAATAAAATAAAATAAAGTGAATAAAACAAAACTAAATGAAAACTAATTATATGAAAAAAAATAAAAAAAATATTAAAAAAATATCAAATAAACTAAGTCAAAATAAACTAAAATAAAAAATGATATTAATCAAATAGAAAATATATATAAAAAAATAATATAAAATAAAAGATAAAATAAAATAAGAAACAATAACTATATTAAAAAATGATATTAATAAAATAGAAAAAATAAATAAAGTAAGCTAAATATAATAAATTTATTATACCAAAAAAGATTTATTAAATAAAATAGTTAATGAGAATAAATTAAAATGAAATAAAAAAATATTGGATTAAGTATAACTGAATAAAATAAAATAAGTAAAAATAAAGTAAAATAAAAAAATTAATAACAAAAAAATTTTAAAAAATTAAAAAATCAATTAAAGTTGCAATAAATTAATTCAAATAAATAAGTTAAATAAAATAAGATTACAACTTAAATAAATAAAAATTTTTAAAGTATTGCAAAATAATTAGTGTATTTAAGATATGCAAGAAAAGCTTTTTATTTATATATGATTTTTCTGGTATTTCATACTAGCTCTGCGACTGGTACCTCAGGTACTAGTATAATAGCAAGCAATTCATTCTTTCTCACAAATACGAATGGTAAGTAGCGAACAGCTGGTTTTGTCGCCCAACAGGTAAAGCGCGCGTAGATTTATTTATTATTATTATTTACTTTTAGTGCTGGTGGTAAACCACACGCGCTGGCGTTGAGTATAATATAATTTATGTAATATATGTGAAAGTAAAGTAAGAATAAAGAAAAACAATTCATAAATAGAACGAAGAAAAAATAAGAAAAACAAAAAAAAAATTATAAAAAAATTGACAAACACAAAAAGACCAAAGACCTAGCGCCAGCAGAAATTTTCGCGGTTGTAATCGTGTTTTTTTAAAAATAGCATAACACTGAAGGCAACAAAGTATGTGGAGTAAATATGCGGCAATTGAATTTACATTATATTTTCTCGAAAATATCTTTTAATATTGGTATGTACTTTTTGGTTTTTGTTTTCCTTTTTCGTTTTTCGGTTTTATTTTTATTTTGTTATATGCGTGTTATAAATTTCAGTTAGTTCTTTTTTCATTTATTACCTATAGAAAATAACTTCTTTTTTAAGCAGTAATAATTATTAATAATTTCCAGTTGATCTTGGTGTTTTTTGTGTATATTTGTTCTTTTTCAAATTTATTTCATATTTATTATTTTTAATATTTTCATTGTCTTCAAAACGATCTCGAAAACGTATTTTTCAAAACTATGCCGCAATGCCAACACGTCCGCGTTCAAAATTCATGCATAAACTGATTTCAAAACTCAAGTGCTTAGCGGCACGGCTACAAAAATCGCTGCGCACTGATTGAAAATTGTTTGTGCGCGAGATCCTCTTTTCTGCTGATAACAGCAGTGCCAGGCAGCGGGACAGTAGATGAAGAAGCGAAACAAACAACAAAAACAAAAAAGGCAAGAAAAAGAACATTGATGTAATGGGCAGTGTAAGTAATTGTGGCAGGGATGCCAACTTTACAATAATAACATCGAAGAAATAAGGTTTACGAAAACAACGCTTTTATATTTTTAATCACATTTGGAAATTAAAAATTCTATTCTATATTCTTATTAAATTATTGGATTTTTATATAATTGTAACCGGTTTCTATTTTTGAATTTTTATGCCTTTTTATTCATTTAATTAATTACACCTTTATCAAAATGTTTTAAATTTACTTTATTTATCTTAGCCGTGGCAACTCTAATCTATTGCTAGCGATAAGAGAGAGAGCCACTCTATCGGAGAAATGGGCAGGCGACATTTTATTTTTATTTTTCTTTGTTGCTCATTTTCGTATTTGCCTCTCAGCTGACAAGCTGCAAATGTTGGTGTATCTATGTTAAAAAGGCGATTCACATTTGTTTTTATGCATATAAATTTACACGCATACATATATAATTATTTCGTCTGGTCTGTCTTGTGAATGTATTTCCAAAAGAGCAAAGATAATTTTACAAAAATGTTCTAATTTTAAAAACAAATATAACCCATCGATAAGTTGCAATTTAAATAGTGCAAGTATAAAAAAAATGTTGGAAACTAGAATATAATGTAAGACTTTAAAATATTTCGAATAAATATATAATATATCTGTAAAACTTTAAAATTACATACATATTTTATATATACGTTTTTTGCATTATTTAAATTAGTTTATATTTATTTAATTTAATTTAATTCTGTTTAATTTATTTTTCAATTTCACTCCCTTTTTTTATTTTATTTTATTTTATATATTTTAATTCTTTTTTATTTTAATTTAAATTTTCATTTCAACTTATTAATCTATTTTGTTTTAATTTAATTTATTTTTTTGTCTATTTTTTCTAATTTATTTAAATTTAGTTAATTAAATTTGATTTGATTAAATTATTTAACTTAAATTTTTTATATTAAATTATTTTAGTTTATTTGGTTTTACTGTGTTTTACTTATTTTGAGCTTTTGTTATATTATTTTACTTAGTTTTTATGGTTTTTTAATTAATATTATCAAATGTACTTTTCCAATACCTTCATAATATTTTATATATTCTGCTTCTAATTTTTATATATCAATATTTCTTTTGTTATTATTTTATTATAGAATTTTTCACTTTATTTTTATTTTTTTTCTGTATTTTATATTACTTTATTTTATTATTTTTTTATTTTGATTTATTTCATTTTGTTTTGCTTTATATTATGTTACTTTACATTATTTTATTTTTTTGTGTTATCAGATTTTATTTCAATATATTACATTTCACTTTATTCTTGTTTTTTCTATTTTAAGTTATTATATTTTTAATGTGTTTTGTTATATTTTATTTTACTTTATTTTATTTCTTCTTTTTATTTTAGTTTATTTAATTTAATTTAATTTAATTTAAATTAATTTTATTTTATTTTATTTTATGTTATTTTGTTTTATTTTATTTTATTTTGTTTTATTTTATTTTATTTTATTTTATTTTATTTTATTTTATTTTATTTTATTTTATTTTATTTTATTTTATTTTATTTTATTTTATTTTATTTTATTTTATTTTATTTTATTTTATTTTATTTTATTTTATTTTATTTTATTTTATTTTATTTTATTTTATTTTATTTTATTTTATTTTATTTTATTTTATTTTATTTTATTTTATTTTATTTTATTTTATTTTATTTTATTTTATTTTATTTTATTTTATTTTATTTTATTTTATTTTATTTTATTTTATTTTATTTTATTTTATTTTATTTTATTTTATTTTATTTTATTTTATTTTATTTTATTTTATTTTATTTTATTTTATTTTATTTTATTTTATTTTATTTTATTTTATTTTATTTTATTTTATTTTATTTTATTTTATTTTATTTTATTTTATTTTATTTTATTTTATTTTATTTTATTTTATTTTATTTTATTTTATTTTATTTTATTTTATTTTATTTTATTTTATTTTATTTTATTTTATTTTATTTTATTTTATTTTATTTTATTTTATTTTATTTTATTTTATTTTATTTTATTTTATTTTATTTTATTTTATTTTATTTTATTTTATTTTATTTTATTTTATTTTTATTTTATTTTATTTTATTTTATTTTATTTTATTTTATTTTATTTTGTTTATTTTATTTGATTTTATTTTATTTTATTTTATTTTATTTTATTTTATTTTATTCAAATTTGTTTAATTTTTTTCATATTATTCAGCGTATAGAGCATGTATCTAAACTATTTCGGACAAACACGTGCTGCACACTCATCATTTACACATGTACCTGAGTGTATGACTGCGAAATTTGCTATCTATAATTAGAATTAAGAGAAATTGGGTAAAATAACATAAATGGTCTAAAAATAAGTCAACACTGCTTCCATAAATTCATAAATCGAAATGAATGAAATTGTAGATACTCAAAGATATCTTGCAGACGTACTATATTAAATGCGCTAATCTGAAATTTTTGTACAAACAAATGCTAGTTATCCAAAAGCATATATGTTATATACAGACAAAATGAGCATTTGTTGACCATTTGAAATTTACTTTTCAAATATAATAATTATAATTGTAACTTACACAGTCTAATAGGTTTTATTCATAAAATTGTCATTTCCACATATTTGTGTACGTATATATGCACTGTTGTAATCACAATTAGTTTGATAAGATATCGCGGCTGGCTCAAATATGTCAATAGATTACGACTTTCTCCATTTATCTAAATTATTTGTTTTTCTAACTCATTAATAAATTACACGGTGGGGTGGCCTGAAAGTGCATATGTGAGCATTTGCTTTTTCCATGAGTCCTACAAGCAAACGGCGAACTTAAGAACTACAAAAAAGTAGTGTAGCATTCTAATCGGACCAGTCTGGCAAATTATTCTAAATAAAGCGAAGATTTGATAAATTTTAATAAGATTCAAATTTACTGTATTATTGTAATTATTTCATTGTCTAGATAGAAGGAACGAAATTAAGTGAAAACAAATTAAATTATCTGTATGATTTGTGTGTTATTTGTTTAAAAATATTTAATTTGTTTTTAATTACTTTTAACTGGCGATTCGTTTACATCTCAAATAATTTATTTACTTTAAATTTTTGTTTATTTTTGGCGCTATCGCTACGCCTATTTTTAAAATCGCCATTGTTACAGAAATAAAAACGCATTAAATATAGACAATTGACTTGCAGTGATGCAGCATTTCATACAATTCGCAATCTACAATGTAAGTATTAATGTATTTGTAATTTGTGTGTAATCTAAAGTTAAAGTCGCGCTCTGCACACGAGCGTTATTAAGAATAAATATGAATTATATTAGTAGCTGAATGAAGCTAGAAGATACAAGCGTATTTTGAACATTGAACTGTATAAAAGCATGATAAGAAGTTCACAGTGGGACATTTCGACGAAACACCACCTTTTGGTATCTATACATATATATTTTTATATGTAATAAAATGAAATGTAATATAACAAGAGATTATATGAAATAAGCAGAATGATGCAAAATGACAAAGTTATATAAAGTAATATAAATTAAAAAAAAAATATTAAATTAAAATGAAATAAAATAAAATAAAGTAAAATAAAACAAAATAAAATAAAATAAAATAAAATAAAATAAAACAAAATAAAATAAAATAAAATAAAATAAAATAAAATAAAATAAAATTAAATAAAATAAAATTAAATAAAATAAAATCAAATAAAATAAAGTAAAATAAAGTAAAACATAATAAAGTAAAATAAAATAATATAAAATAAAATAAAATAAAATAAAATAAAATAAAATAAAATCAAATAAGATAAAAAAAATTAAATAAAAATAAAAGAAAATAAAATGTCATAAAATAAAAGAATAAAATAAAAAAAGATAAATTTGATGAAATAAATGAAAAAGAATTATATTGAAGGAAAAAACCGCTTAGGGACTAGGCTGTAGTAATATTCACCAGCTCAATATGTTATTGATGCTATTTAAATGTTCTTTATATATAGTATATAACAGACACTTTGTAACCGCTAGAAATATTTTCCGCCGAGCTCCTTCTCCAATTTGTGGTTTTGCGTCTTGATGTTTTTCCGACAAATGGAGAGACCTACAGTTTATACTAAGCCGAACGGCTGATGGTTTT